TTTTTGTTTTTTTTTTGTAATTTTTTTTTTAATGTTTCTTTATTTTTGAGAGAGCGAGCATGAGCAGGGGAAGGACAGAGAGAGAGGGACACACAGAATCTGAAGCAGGCTCCAGGCTCTGAGCTGTCAACACAGAGCCCAACACAGGGCTCAAACTCACGAACACTGAGATCATGACCTGTGCCAAAGTTGGAAGCTTAACCGACTGATCCAGCCAGGTGCCCCTAACTTGCGTAGTTTTTGAGAGTTCTGCTATGATTTTTATTTTTATTGCTCTGTACATCATTTTTTTCCTCTTGTTGCCTTCAAGACATTCTCTTCATTTTGGTTTTCACTATTTTGATCTATAATGAATATATGTGTGTGAATTTTTAATTTCTTCTTCTTGGTGATCTCTGAAATTCTTGCATCTGTGATTTGATGTCCTACATGTCTTACAGAGGATTCTTGGCTGTTACTTCTTCACATTTTACTTCTGCCCCATACTTTTTTTTTTCTCCTTCTACGACTCACAATATATATATTATTCCATAGTTCTTGAAATATCTTGTGTGTGTAAGTTTTATGTACATGTGTGAGTCAATTTGGATCATTTCTGTTGATGTATCCTCAGGATATCTGAGCCTTTCTCTGATTGTATCCAGTCTACTGATGAACCCATCTTGGGAATTCTTTATTTTTGATCATGTTTTTTTATTCATATCATTTACATTTGAGATATATATATATACACACACACACATGTATATATAAATATATAATAAATATATACACAGACACACGTGTGTGTGTATTTTATTTTTTTGAGTAGGCTCCATACCTACTGTGGGGCTTGAACTCATGACACTGAGATCAAGAGTCACATGCTGTACCAGCTGAACCAGCAGGGCACCCCTTTACATTTGACTCTTACAATTTCCGTATTTCTGTAGAAATTTCCCACTTCTTTATGCACGTTACCACTTTTCCTACTTGGTCCTTGAACATATTAGTCATAGTTATTTTAAATTTCTTGTCTGATAGTTCTAACACCTTTCATTTGAGTATTGATGATTTTATCTCATGACAATATGTTTGTTTTTCCTTGAATTTCTAATGTGTCGTATAATTTTTGAGTGCCAGATAATGTGTGTAGAAAAGAGTGGTAGAGATTGAGATAAATGGTATTTATACTTGTAGATGCACAGACTCTTTTTTTTTTTTCCTCAGGCCATTTGTATGGGAAATTGAATCAATTTGTCAATAGTTGAGTTGGATTTGGGTTTTGTTGTTGGTATCTTTACCTTCAGTATACCATAGATTTTGCATTCCTCTAGCAGTAGGGTTTTACTACCTGTGCTTGGAATGAGGGGCATGGGTGCTGTAGAATTTTCTGTTTTCCTGCTTTCTCTTTAGCTTTTAGTTGTCTCTGCCTACCTTGCTACAAATGGGGGTCTCTCTCCATGCTCCTGTGCCTCCTCTGTCAATGTGTCGTTAGTGTGTGTTATTCACTGCTAGGCTTGTGGTAGAGGCTGTGCATTTCCGCTGTCTTGTTTCATCGCGTTGCGTCTCGTCTCGTCTCGTCTCGTCTCGTCTCGTCTCGTCTCGTCTCGTCTCGTCTCTTCTCTTCTCTTCTCTTCTCTTCTCTTCTCTTCTCTTCTCTTCTCTTCTCTTCTCTTCTCGTTTCTCCTCTCCTCTCCTCTCCTCTCCTCTCCTCTCCTCTCCTCTCTTTTTCTTTTCTTTTCTTTTCTTTTCTTTTCTTTTCTTTTCTTTTCTTTTCTTTTCTTTTCTTTTCTTTTCTTTTCTTTTCTTTTTTTCTTTTCTGTAATACCTGTGCCCAATGTGGGGCTTAATCTGCTGGCCTTAAGATCAAGTCACATGCTCTACCCACTGAGCCAGCCAGGCGCCCTTCTGTTTTCTTGATTCAACCTCAGTCTTACTCAGGCCCTTGGACTTAGGTGGGGCTTCTTCAGTGTTTCTTTCCTTCATTCTAGCCTGTATCTGTAGTTGCTTTTGATGTAGGGTCCTGGACCCAAGGTAGTTTCTGACAGTTGTCCCAGAGATAAAAGTGTTTTTGCTTCTATCTTTCCTCTACCAGCCAGCGGTAGATCTTTGCTTGTGTCTTGAGAAGGGTTTTTGTTTCTGTTCTCTCAAAAGCTATCTTTGCCAGAGTCCTGTGAGAAGTTTTGCTGTTCTTACCTCACAGTTAAGGCTTTGGCTTTGTGAAATCTGTCAAACGTGGTAGGACTTTGTTTTCCACTTAGAGCTATTACTTCCTGCCTATGCCACTAGGGAGACTTGGAGACTTTCTTTGTTCTCCTTTCCTATCCCCATTCTTTTTTTGTGAGCATATAGTAAAGGCCCATGGAGAAGAGCTTGAAGAGTGAGTGGGAACTTCCCTTATATTTGGGGCCCTTGGTACTCTAAACTGACACACTGGCCCTTGGCCTTTCAAATTTTAGCTAGCTTCTTACATGCTTGGATGGTGGCTGCCTCTTTCTCCTATACTCTGCTAAAAGGTGAGACAACTTGTCCCTTTTCTCTTTGGGCTTGTCCTTCTCAGGAATTTAATTTGTTGGTCTGCCTTGTAGCTTTAGCTCCCCAGTGTGGCTCAAAAATAGGGTTTTATTTTTACTTACCCAAGCAGAGGTGGAACTCCCATTCATAAGTTTTCAATTGATGTTTTGATAAGATAGGCTTGAATTTATGTTCTATGGTCATCTTTTAAAAACTTTTTTAATGCCAGTATTACCCTGTGAGAGGGGAATTTTCATATAGGCATTATTGTTAGAGTTCTGAATTTTATGTTAAAAAATAAAATAGACATTATGCCAAAATATGCCTCCTAAAATTCTAAGTAGTGGCTAAATGCAGTTGGAGTCCCTCTCTACCAAATACCTGGCCATTGTGGAACAAAATTTATGGAATGGATTTGGAGCATTTCATTAAAAAGAAATGGCCTTTGGTTATTTTCTATAAAAATTATGGCACAGTCCTACTTACTCATGAAAAGATTTCCTATTTCACAGATTCTTCAGGTCTTCAAGTGCATTTTCCTGTCATCCAAGATGGTTATTCTTTCTTGCCGCACTGAGGAATGTAGGTGTTCTTGCTAGCCCTCTGTAGGCTACATGTCTTCTCATGTCTTCTCATGTAGTAATCTTCTCATTGTAGTAAGAACCTAATTGGCATTTATACACTCATTTTGTAATGGCATAGTGGAATTTTTTTCAGCGTTGATAATTTGAAACTTGGAAAGGTTAACGATTTTTTTCTTTTAATGTTTATTTTTGAGAGAGAGTGTGTGTGCACATGTGCATGAGCAGGGGAGGGGCAGAAAGAGAGGGAGACCCAGAATCTGAAGCAGGCTCCAAGCTCTGAGCTGTCAGCACAGAGCCCGATGCAGGGCTTGAACTCACAAACCATGAGATCATGATCTGAGCTGAAGATGGACACTTAACCAACTGAGCCACCCAGGCACCCCCCAGAAAGATTTAAATCTGAAGCTCATTTAAAAAGTTTATTCTACTTGAAATTGTATTCTATGCATAGAGATATTTAGACTCCTGATTCTGTTGTTGTTGTTTTACTTTTTTTTTTTTTTAAGTTTATTCTGAGAGAGACCGCGCAAGTGGGAGAGGGGCAAAGAGGGAGACAGAGAATCCTAAGCAGCCTCTGTGCTGCTAGCGCAGAGCCTAATGCAGGGCTCAAAATCATGAAAGCATGAGATCATGACCTGAGCTGAAACCAAGAGTTGGACGCTTAACCAACTGAGCCAACCAGGCATCCCCTGATTCTGTTTTTAAAGATGGGATTTGGTATTCGGGGCGCCTGGGTGGCGCAGTCGGTTAAGCGTCCGACTTCAGTCAGGTCACGATCTCGCGGTCCGTGAGTTCGAGCCCCGCGTCGGGCTCTGGGCTGATGGCTCAGAGCCTGGAGCCTGTTTCCGATTCTGTGTCTCCCTCTCTCTCTGCCCCTCCCCCGTTCATGCTCTGTCTCTCTCTGTCCCAAAAATAAATAAATGTTGAAAAAAAAAAAAATAAAGATGGGATTTGGTTTTTTGGATTTCCAATGACCCTGTGGCTTCTCTTCTTTAATTTCAGAACTCCATACGACATAATCTGTCACTGAACAAGTGTTTCCTTAAAGTGCCTCGATCAAAGGATGACCCCGGAAAGGTAGGATTCATTATCTTAAAATAAAATAATTGGATTCTTCATTATATCTGTTATCACGTTTGTATCTGAGTAATGTCTGTTATATATAGAGAAACAGAATTGGAATGAGAGCATTCAAGAACATGCCTAGTTCATTGATTAGGAACCTTCCTGATCCTTTTTCACTTCACCCTACCTCATCCCCATTTTAATTGGTAATCTTCAAGGACCAACTAGGCAGAGACAGCATTCTTTTTAAGCAGTCGAAGTTAGCTAGTGTAGAGCTGGTCTTCTGTTAAAGTTTAGTACTTCTAATCTTGTTTCTCTTTGGTTATTAAGTACTGTATATTAATTTAAATTTGGTTTTTGAACTGCTTGTCAGGAACCACAGTTTGTTATTTATTGCATGTAGGAGGTAGATTTGGTAGATCTTGACACCACATAGAAGTAAATCTTACCCTGAAATAAAATTGTATGTTCCTTGTTTTCTTAGTTGCTGTTTTTTCCTTTGCATTCCGTTTATATCCTGCCACCAGTACACTTTTAGTATTTTATCTACAGAGACTTCTCCTCTTTTTGGTTTTAGTAGTCATATTAACTGCAGTGTTCCCTGAACTTGGTACTAGTTACTTGGCTTCTAAACCTCAGAGTACTCTGTTAGACCATAATTTCATTGTCATGATAAATTATTAGATTAGGACTTTGAGAGAGTGTATCTGTTGGCAAACATGCATTGTTGTTTGGCTGGAACCAGCCGGTGTTTTAAGCTAACCATCCCTGGAAGAATGTTTCTAAAATTTTAGTAAGCCTGGTTATGTTACCACCCTGCTTAAAAGTACTCCCCGTGTCTTGGAGATGTTTCCTTGTGTTGTCAGATACCCTTTATGCTTTTCCTTGATCTGCCTTTCTAGCTATGATTCTCGTTCAAGACCCACTGTGAGGAACTACTTAAAGTTTCTCCTGCCTTTCATATGATCTTCTCTTGCTGCACAAACTCTCTTTCTCTGCTTACCTGGCCTACTCCTTGGGTCTTTTAAGATTGAGCTACAGCATTACTTCTCTGAAGCTTTTCATTTCCACGTACTTCAGCTGAGTTTGTTGTTCCCTCTTGATTTCCTATTACTTTGTCATCATTGCAGTAGCTTCTGACTGTTCGATTCTTGGGTTTACTACCTACAATGTATAGTAACTTTCACAAAGTAGCCAGTGCTGTCTTTCAAAAATGTTAAGCTAGTCACATGTTTTCTGTGTTTAAAATCTTCATTGTTTATCTACTGTCCTTAGGTTAAAGTCTAAACTTATGAGGGTAGGGAATCATGTATATTGTTCACTTTTTAGCTCCAGTTGCTTGGACAGTAGCTGGTGGCACCGAGGGAGGACACACTCTTGTTGAATGAATGAATGTATTGTATCCTCTTCTAGATGGTTAATTTCTTGAGGTTAGAGATGGAGAGTTACTCATTTTCACTATAAAGCAGGCACTCTTAAAAAATGGATGTTTTCTATAGCACCTTCTGTGACCTGCCCCATTAAGTTGGTTCTCAGTAAGATTGAATAAATTATTACTATAGTCTAGTTATTTGTTCCAATTTATTATTTGTCTGTGTTCATAATTCTCCAAGGTTTTGTTTCTTTTCTTTAAAGCAGACTTATTTGTAAAAAAACAATAATAATAATGAATTGTAACTTTTTATATTTGCTTCATTACAATTTTGGGGGGCAGTGAGTATATATGAATCTCAATGAAAATGTTCTTAAGAGTTTAGAGATTATTTTATTAGAGTTCTTTGAGGGCACTAATTGGATTTTATAAATATTTGGTTCAGATTTAATTTTTACATGAGGTTTAAATCATTAAAAAAATAAACCAAAACACCTGAGTGCTTTACTATATTATGTACTAAGTCTTAACCAGTTGGAGATCTATTTTAAAAAGCTTGTGCTGTCAGGTTTTCTTTTGTGCAGAACCTAAAACTTTTCTCCACCTTTAATTAAATAGTGTCGTGGATAAGGCAGATGTAGAAAACATATGTTACTCTTCAACTATTCTTTTTGAATCAGAATTGTCTTAACATGCAACCAAAACAAAATGCAGAAATAAATAGAATCCTGAGAAGTTAATAACAGATTTCAACTTTTACCATTAGTCTCCAGTTTTAAAGTTTGTTTTAATCAAAATGCATCATTGTTATCATTGATTTGGGTCACAATAGTAAATACCATACATTTAATCTTAATAAAGTACAGTATATTAATAATAGATACATTTTTTTTTCCAGTCTCAAGGTGAGATTTAAATACCCATTGTTCTTATTTATTTTGGTCAGAAGTAAATGCTGTAAATCTCATCTTATAAAATTTATATGAATCAAATCATTTTAATTTTTGATATCAAAATATGATTTTTGTTTAAAAATCCCATTGCCTAAAAAACATTTTGAAAAACTTCAGATCTAGCCCATTTGATAGAAGAGGAAACTCAGGCCAGTAAACGAAGGATGACTTGTCCAGGTTTAGTGTGGAATTAGAGCCCAGTTGGCCAGACTTACTTGCAGTCACAGTAACCCAACTACAGACCAACTGAAGGGACTAAACATCTACAGGACGAGCTGGAGCCTGGTTCTACCACGAATGTCTCTTTACATCCCTTAGTTCTGCTAACTTCTCGGATGGCTTCTTTTTTCATCCCAGTTAATGGCAGAGATGACCATCAGCAGCTTCTGGCTTCTATTCTCCTAGTTGATTCTGGCTTCTGTTCTACTAGTTTACTAACCCTTAGCAGAAGGGGGGTGTTTGGTGTCCTCCCCCACCGAGTCACCTGGAATATAGCAAACATCTTAGAATGCCTGCTGAGCAAGCAGAACATACCTGGTTTCTTGGTTCCTTGTTTCTTAGACTAATGCTTTTTCTGCTGTACCAATCTTCCTTGAGAGGGAGACCAAAATGTTAGTTAAGTTTTGGTACTTATGAATTGTTTTTTCTTTTTGTATTACAGTGTTTCCTGGCATTTGAGGAGCTTTTCCAAAACCACCCTCACCACAGTGGGAGAAAACCATTGAGCCAAGGTGGGGTGGGAGTAGTTTTCGGTCTTGGGTATGGGGTGGACTTTAACCCCTTAGGATTTTACTAGCTGCTGCCATGACTCACATTGGGTCCAAGAGGTAGAGGTAGAAGTAGTGTGTCCAGCGTCTTTTTCCCTCTATTTTCATTTGTATGGCTTCCTGTTCAGTGGATTACTGGAGAGATATGAAGGCCGACCTAAACTTGGAAGAGTGTTGATGAATTACAGATATTTTTATATGACTATTTATTCCTGATTCACTTCTTCATTTTCTAGAAATCTTTGTCATAAAAGCCCTTAATATTTGAATCTCTCCCATGTACATTAATGGGCTGACATTGATTTTCCTATGTTCCCTCAAACTAATTTCAAATAGCCACATTTTACTTTCTTTAAAAAGAAACAGAAAATGAAATTACATTTTGCAGCCATAACTCTGTCTTTTGTGGGACAGATTTCTATTTTCTCTCCCCCAACCCCCTTTAAAGTTTATTGATTTATTTTGAGAGAGACAGAGCAAGTGGGGGAGGGGCAGAGAGAGAATTTCAAGTAGGCTCCATGCTGTCAGTGCAGAGTCTGATGTGGGGCTCGAACTCTCATGTATGGTAAGATCATGACCTGAGCCGAAACCAGGGGTGGGACACTTAACCGACTGAGCCACCCAGGTGCTTCTCTTTTCCCTTGATTACAACCATGTTTCTGTATGTTTTAGTCCATCTCCATTTTTTTAAAAATTATTTCTGCCTTTTATCTCTTCTCTTTTCATTAGCTTTATTTTCTGTATTTTTGTCTGTTTTTTTAATCTAATTGTTGTTGTTGTTAAAGTCTTCTTATCCTGCCTTTTATTCACACATGCCTCTTAATTAACTTAAAGGAAGGTAAATATTTTCACATTATGGGAAAACAGAGCCTATCAGCTAAATTTACTTAAAAAAAAATGTCTTTCTTTGCTTTCTACCTTCATCATTTCTCAACCCTTTTCCCTCTTCTCCAACTCAGAAAAATGGTATTTTGATTTTAAAGGAAATGAAAGATAATAGGAAGTGGTTTCAATAATTGCATAATTAATTAGCAATAGTGGGTTCTAATAGAACTGAGGTGATAGCTAAGAATACCCCGTGAAGGCCACCTGTCTGTTCTGTTCTGGGAAAGATAACTTCAGTGAATTCATAGTAAGAAGAGCTTTTTGGGGCTGGTGGAGGTGATGCTTTTTCTTGCCCAGGGATGGGAAAGTTGTAAAGGCTTCGTGGCTGTGAATATCGGAGTCTCCTGGTTTGTGAGGAAACAAACTCAGCTGCTAGAAAATGAACTTTTGGAAGTTCTGAGACTGTAATTTTTTTCTATTCTTGTCCTCTGTCATGATATGGAGACCATAGCTTAGTTGACTGATGTCTTGTTTTCAAAGGGTATTCTTTTTTTGGCCTTATTAGTATTGTGTTGTATTTATTTATAAATTGTCTCTTATTTGTTGGTATCCTGTTTTGGTCACTTTATTTGTTAAAAGATGTAGAAAAAAATGGAGAGGTTTGAAAGTACATAAGATACAACATTAAGTGATTTAACAGTGTTGTAGCAATCACAGGTGTGTACCATAAAGAAGGAAGATACGAGTGTAATTTTAATACTAATCTTAAAGTAGGTGTATGATTTTTGTGAAGAAGTAGTTAACTTCTTATCTTTGTCTTTGTGTAAAACCAAACAGGAAATAGGCTTTAAAGACAAGAGCAAGAGTTTGGTTAGACAAAAATAAGGGCATCTTATTTATTTGATTGAAAAAAAACACTGGTAGGGTTCCAAGGGATGTTTTAGAGTTTGCCACTTCTGAAGCATTTTAAGGATAGATGAAATTCTTAATCTTTGTGACATGATCAAGTTGAGCTGAGGGACTAGTGAGAACAAAGTTGGGATAGAATCAGGAGTTAAGGGAATTAATGTAAGTACAGTAGTCACCCCTTATCTG